AAGAAAGAAAGGAAAAAGAAAATGTGGTATATATACACAATGGAAAAGATTTCAACAAAAAAAAGAATGAAATCCTGTCATTCACAGCAACATCAATGAGCGTGTAGGATATTATGTTAAGTGAAATATACCAGGCACAGAAAGATAAATCCTTAGGATCTCACTCATATGTGAAAGCTAAAAAAGTTGATCTCACAGAAGTAGAAAGTAAAATAGTAGTAGAGGCTGGGAAGGGTAGAGGGAAGTAGGGGAGAAATAAAGGTAAATTGACAGATACAAAATTACAGTTAGCTAGGAGGAATAAATTCTAGTATTCTATAGCACTGTAGAGGTAATTACAGTTAACAACAATTTACTGTATATTTTTTCAAGTAGCTAGAAGACAGGATTTTGAATGTTCCCAAAAACAAAGAAATGATAAAATTTGAGGTGATGGATATGCTAATTATCCTGATTTGATCATTACACATTGTATACATGTATCAAAATATCACACCACACCCCATAAATATGGACACATTACAATATACACATTGTATACATGCACCAAAATATCACAGTGTACCTCAAAAATATGAGCTAGGAGAGGAGAAGCCCACAAAATGCTTGTTGAACTGAAATGTGCTCAAGCTTTCCCACCTCACTCTCTTGCTCTGGAAGGAGGAGGCCAGATGTATACTATATATTTGATTTATACAGAGCTAGGAAATATATGTAATATATATAAATATGAACATACATATGTATATCTATATCAAACAAACATTATATAAATATATAATTCCTAGCTCTCTGTAAAATGAATATATATTTCCTAGATTTTGAAAAACAAATATAAAACCTATATAAATATAAGTGTGTGTGTGTGTGTATACACACACACACACACACACACACACACACACATATGTATATATATACATATATTTCCTAGCTCTATATACTACAAAGACCTAGAGACAGTGACCAACCTGGTGGCAATGACCCCTCATGGCACCAAGATTATGATCGCCAAACACCATTTTCCACCAAACAGAAATGGGGCTCCTTGGAGAAATGACTGAGGCAAGTACAAGAAAAGCCGAGAACATCTTTTCAAGGCAGTCAGGAAAGAAGCTATCAATATTATCAGGGTCCTCCTAAAGGCCTCCAGAGCCAACTTGAAGAGGCTCCCACTAACAAAGACAAAGCAGGACAACATGAGCATCATGAAAGATAGTAAGGGTAGTGGGCTGAAACACATCAAATACGCTCATATTCATGAGACTATAGTGACACTTTTAAAAAATTACAAGTAATTGGCTACTATTGGAAGAGAAGGACCAACTCATTATTTTGAAAATGTGTGAATAGAGGGAAACAATCAGTCACTGATTCTGCTTTTTCTGTGTCAACTGTATCCCTGAGTAACCAAAGAATTGTAGATGTGGTGAAGTTTCTCTTTATAGAAGTATTCCCATAAGGATGAAATGATAGGATTAGACTAATCTAAGATCGATCATCACTAGCTGCTAACATCACAAAGAGAGATGCCACCAGACATTATGAGCTCCTGATGAAAGAAAACCACCTGTTCTAAGGCTCTAAGTTCATCTACCAAACTAAGAAATCATAGAGGACAGGAACATGTTAACCAATAACCAGAGAATGACATCAGCAAAATCCACACTCTGGGAAATTCTGTGTGTAGACCTTAGATGGGTCCTGATACAAACAAATGTATCAAAATAAATAAATAAAATGACATTTGAGATTATTTTAATTTATGACATTTGAGACTATTGAAACTGTGAACACTGATTGGCTATTTGATGACAATAAGGAATTATTATTGTTTTAGTTGTAAGAATGGCATTGAAAATATATATCCTTACCCTTTAGAGATACATACTAAAACATTTACAGGTGAAATACAATATTTGAGATGTACTTCAAAATGATATTAGAGGGGGACTGAGATAAAACAAGATTGGCCTAGAAGTTAATAATTGTTGATACTAGGTATTGGGTGCTTGGGGGATTGTTATGCTATTATCTGCTTTTATATATGTTTAAAATTCTTCATAACAAAGAGTTTTAAATATAAATTAATACAATGCGCTCTTATAGCCTCACATATCCTTGACTCATGCTAAGCCTTAGAAAAGGGTCTGGCCAGGTACAGTGGTTCACACCTGTGATCCCAGCACTTTGGGAGGTCAAGGAAGAGGGATTCCTAGAACCCAGAAACTTGACACCAGCCTGGGCAACATAGCAAGACTTTGTCTCTACAAAAAAAAACCCAAAAAACCAAAATTAGCTGGGTGTGGTGGAATGTGCCTGTAGTACCAACTACTCGGGAGGCTAAGGCAGAAGGATTGCCTGAGCCCAGGAGACCAAGGTTGCAATAAGCTGTGATTGTGCCACTGCATTCCAGCCTAGACGACAGAGTGAGACACCAGCTCAAAAAAGAAAAAAGAAAAAAAAGAGAGAGAGAAAGGCCTGAACAGGAGTCCGAGGCTGCAGTGAGCTATGATCATGTCACTACACTCCAGCCTGAATGACAGAGTGAGACCTTATCTTGAAAGGAAGGAAGGAAGGGAGGGAGAGAGGAAGCTGAAAAAGCTGGACTATGTGTAGCCCCCTGTGATCACTTTGTTCTCCCAGCAATTCAATGACTGCCCCGGGGCTACTACATTGGTCCAGGCTGCATGTTAGGTCTTTATAATATAAAAAATATCATAATTACAAAGTGCTTTTTCTATAAAAACACTTCACTAAAACTTGAGAGTCTACTAAGCACAAGGCCCTATGCCCAGCACTCTAGAGGACACTACATTGAGAAGGCATGGCCCCATGTTCTGGTAGGGAGAAGGGAGGTGCCAGTCTAGTGGAGAGAGATGGACAAACTACCAGCTCACAAGGGTGCATGGCCAAATGAGACAATACACAAAAGGGCATCCAGAAGAAGGACAGTTCCTCCAGACAATTGTAGGGGAATCCTGGTAGGCACATGATGAGATAACCTGGAATTAAGACGCCTAGCTAGGATTTCAGTCCCAACGAGGAGGGATCCTGGCTGAAGGCGTGGCAGGTGTGAAGACCTGAAGGGGAGAGTGAAAGGCATGTGGTTTGTGAAGGGGGAGTAAGGTCAGCTGATTGGAAGAAGGGTTGAGGCCAGGAGATGAGTGACAGGGGAAAAGGAGGTGGGGACTCAGTTGCAAAGGACATTGAGTGCTGTGCCTGGAGTTGATGCTTTATCTGGTGAGCCCAGGGAAGCCACACACTACAGGAAGGCAGCGCCTACTGCTACTTCCAAGGACAACACAATCTGGCAGTTTCCTATGCAAGCTCAGCAATGCCATCTGCCCTCTTCTGGGTTTCAGGCAGTGGCCCAGAAATGCAGATCAAATGGCGTGAGTCAAGACTGTTAAATTGGTATCAAATGTACAGAGCTGTGGCTGAGCATGTGATGGGATGCCAAAAGGAGCGAAGCATCCACAGGTGATCAGAACTCCAAGGACTCTTAAAAAACAGAAACAGATGCAGAAAAGCATTGCATGTAAAAGAAAAAAGCACACAGCACCCAGCATGACCCCAAAACTCATTGATGGTTTGTTTCATGTGTATAATTATGAAAGGGGCCTCTTCAAGTCATACCTCCATGTGGTGACACTTTGTGTGTGATTCACCACACATCAAAAGCTGCCAATTTCAATTTTGTTCAGGAGTGTCTCTTGCCATCTCCTCCTTCCTGCGTGTCAGTATCCAGCACAGTCATCCAGGAAATAGGCCATTTCTTCCATCTTTCTTTCCCCTTGGAATAAGCATATATTCATCTTGTTCTAAGGAACCTCACCCCCATTTCATAGGTCTGTATTTTTTACTGATATAGTTTGCCAACTATATCCTAGAAGGCTACAGAAGTGGAAGCCACATGCTCAAAAACCCAGCTTCCTGGGAACTTCTCAAGGCACTTTGCCGAACCTGTCAGCCTCTTACTGAACAGCCAGAATGTGTGCAGACTTCCCTCCTTCTCCTCTACTCCAGTAGTGTGACAGTGGCAGGCAGGTCTGTCACCCATACCACCTTGCACCTTGCTGGCAGCATGGCAGATCAATAAGAGACACAACCAAAGCTATTATGCTCCCTGTCACAAATGTT